CCTTTTTAGTGGACAAAGCTAGGAAATGTGTATCTTTTTAGAAAAATAAGTAAATCATGAGCTCATACTAATGCTTCACTTTTTCTTGGATTTTATATTTGCATTTCTTTTTATTAATGTTGATAATCTTGATTCCTGATGCTTTATCTTTCTATACCTACATATATGTGACATTTTCATAATACGATGACCAAAATTATCACTAATGATGAGCCCACCAATTGTAGTCTGAGATTTGTTGTGGTTCATTTTGTCCTTAGGATACCATTATGGGTGTACCATGAAAATAACTGTATTGTAAAAGCACTTAAAATAATTTTCTCTACTTGGTTACACCACCAACTTCAACTAGCTAATTAGGTTCATTTTTTTCAATTTGTTTTCTATTTTTACAGATTCCATGGGGCTTTGTTTGCTTTTTAATTATGTAAAATGGTTCCAAAATTAAATTGCGAAAATAGCACATTTAGAGAGCATCTAGCTTTTTATCTCTACGCCCTCCCCTCGTTCTTTCCCTTTCCCTGTAGGTAACCATCTTTATTTGTGTATTTCTTTAGGAGATAAAAGCAAATCTGTACACACACACACACACACACACACACACACACACACACACACACATGCATGTGCACGTATACTATCTCCCCCACTTCTTAGCACAAAGAAAGATAGCAGACTATACACGCTTTTCTGCACTTTACTTTCTTTAACTATCAGTAGATCCTAGAGCTCATTCCACTGCAATACGCAGAGATCCGCTCCTGCCTTTTTCCAGCCACCTACAAGCTGTACCCATTTGTAATCTGCCTGATACTTACAGCCCCAGGTTCCTCTTCTGCTGCAGCTTGAGTCTGGCTAACTCTCCAGTCTGAAGCTCCTCCTCTTTTCAGGAGCTTCGTCTCTGCTGCAGCCTCTTCACAGCCCGTGTGTGTGTGTCGCTGCTGATGTGCTGCTTCATTCATGCGTCCACACAGCACGGAACACCTTCTCTCCTCCTCTGTCTCCACACCTACTCCATCCACGTTTCCATGTACCAGCTCACTCTGTGCCACCTTGAAAACCTCCTTCCCTTTTTGTAGTCCACTCAACTTTTCCTTCTCAGAAACTTCATGGATAATTGTATTTTTCGTACATTTTATTATTTTCTAAGGATTTGTGTTTAATAGATTCAATTCCTGGAATTAGTTTTCCAAGGGCTGAAAACAAGACTTTATTTTTTTTTTGCATCGATTCCCAGTCACACTTATCTAATCCCAGGAACTGCAATAAATAAGTGCTTGATCAAAGGATGTTAAAGTAAGATATTTGAAACAACTACAGTGTCTAAGAAAATAATGTGTTACTTTGGATATTCAGAGTGAATAAAAACATTTCTGATAGATTTTCAAGATGATTTTAGAATGTCACTGAATGCTAAACGGAAATGTTTTTAGAGTTATATTAAGAACCTTGCCTTTAAGGCACGCATCTGAAATTATCCCAGTCATTTACCATTTCTCTTTATTTGCCAACTCTTCAGGCCTTTTACTCGCAGAGCATCTGTTCAGTTTTCTCTTCTGGTCGGGTAGCAGCTGTCTCTCGACTCATTTAAAATGTTGCATTAACATGAGCTTTGCTATTTTCATCATTGCATATGTTCATCTTATGCTTTTGGGAAATGACATGATGCGATTCAGCATGTTAATTTAAATATCACCCAAAATGTAATAGTTTCCAAATCTGTTTGTTGACATTTAATACTATTCACAGTTTCAAATGTCATAAAGCCAAATACAGTGCTATTTGTATCGATGCAAATTTTTAAAAAGTAAAATCATGTATATTTAACTTGTTGGCTGAATTATTATCTAATATATAGTGTACACATAACGATCAGGTGTAATATCGAGAGCACGGAAGGGCCACGTAAAAAATCATGAATCAAAGTTTGGTGTAGATTTACCCTGGGAAGGATAATTGTCATTACCTTAAGTAACAATACTCTAATTTTGGCTATAAGGTCTGTTCATAAAAGATTAGCCTAAACCAACCCTTCTCTGGAGACATACATAGAACTGAG